CTAACAATCTGTCAAGTATATCCAGAAAATAGGGACACGCCTAGCCATAGACACTAATCGATGCGAGTATGATTCCATTGGCAACGCCCTACCAGGATGTTTGGAACCGTTCTCCTCCCATCGACTTGATTGGGCTGATTTGATCCGTCTCAGGGCGCAGGCTGCTGGAGAGAAAGACTAACTCGTGCATTTTTCACCGAAAAGCGATGCCATACGATGAGCAATTTTTATTTAATGCTCGAAAATTCCTTATTCTACTATTTTGTAAATCCCTCTGCATTTGGGATTCGGTCAAAAATACGGTGTGATTAGCCGAATGTTCACAAGAGGCATGGACTCCAGTATGATTTTCGCAATTGTTGGCCGAGATTGATGTTGTCGTTCTTGATGGGGGTTAAACAATGGGAGCCTACCCTCAAGGTCTCATTGACACAGTCCTTTCAGAACCCAAATGCCCCGGTTGCGAAACTTTCAATCTACGTAGTTCGCAGTTGGAACAGTTGCATCTCTGGCGTTACTAACCAGCTAGCTGTGCTGCTCACGGTTGATTTCATTATTTTATGAGTTTCCGGTTAAAATTCGCAGGGCAAACATTTTAACGTTTTTTCTTCATAAAGTGGATATCGATCTAAGGCGATTAGCCCTCAACTCAGTCTATGCACGTGCTTGTCTGCTCTGAATTCGTATAAATTGTTCGGAGTAATGTGGGATTTGTTAGATTCAACTGATTGGTGGACAATTTGAGTCATTTGATTTATCGCGGAACTGTCGCATAATCTTCCATGAGCTGTGTCGGTTGAAATTTCTAAATAAATAAAGCTGACCATTGGAATGAATTAACTATAAACAATGTGTTTCAGTTTGAACAACCATTAGCCATGCACTTTCGTGCGCCGGTTTTGTTTGCTGACTTTTGGCTCCCCATTCGGGTGAATAATAGGAGAAGACAGGAAAGTTGAAGGTAGAGTCGAACATAAAGTGAAGACGTTCAGTGGTCTAAGGTTGCCAAGAGATTGAGAAGATGCACGAACGCCACTGTTTACGACACCCAGCCATATCGCTCAGTGTCTCTAACCATCGGTTACGACCACAATGCGTATTGAATATAGTATGGTGTGATGCTTCCTCATATAGTATTTCGAGAGACATGAAATATTGAATGAGGAGTAATCATAACGACAAATCGGAGCAAATGTACGCGCTCTTTGGAGCAAAACACAGCACACGTGAAAACGATAATGAATCAGCAAGTGAAAAGAATGAACTTCATTTGAACATGTAAGTCATGCTTGATTTGTTTTCGGGTTGTACTTACCTACCTTTGACTGCGTCACTCAAATTACCGTCCGACTGTTGTTGTTGTTGTTGTCCTAGCATCGAGAGATTGGGTCGTATACCACGTGACCAGTCGAATCGATTCGATTGTCCTAACATCACCCCCGTGGAACCGGCTCCAACTGTACCGTTTCGATCCAGACTGGCGCTGGCATTCATCTGAGCCAGTCGACGTAGAACGCGTTCGGTTGGAGATGGTCCAGTCAGCGCGCCAGTCCCAATCGGTCCGCTGTCCAGTGTCCCGGTGACAGGTGGTTGGCCAAGCAGGTAGGAAATGGGATCCAAACTGAATCCGGGGCGTGATGCCCCCGGACCGGGGTGGTACGGCGCCATGGAGGTTTTGGCCATTGCCATTGGTAAATGCTGTCCTATCTCGGATGAACCGACTGTGTTGGAGCGTCTCAATCGGGCTCGATGGTTTGCCAACCGAGAGTTCGGATACTGTGAGCTTGTACTGGGCCCGGGAATTCGGGCATTGGGTAACTCCACTGACCGATACAGGCCCGGCATGATGTTCACCCCTCGATCCATATTCATGCCCACCAGGTGGTGCGTTTGACTGTCCAAAGAAGGTTGTGATCCACCGTACCAATTAGCAGCAGGCGGATTGGGGACTCGTGCAGGAACGGCGTAGGGATGGTTTTGCTGTGGGTGCTGCTGCTGAGATATTTGTGTTGTATAGTGATGCTGCGTGGCAGGGAAATTGTACTCCGCACCAACGGAATGCGGAAGCACAAAATCTCCATTCAAATTGGCACCGCTACTCATGACTAGAAAATCTTCCAGTGTGAATGGTCGTATATTATTGCGCTTCAATTCCATCCACGGCGGCGGCGACGACGACGACGACGAAGCTGGAACAACAAGGTTACAGTGTTCTCTGGACGGCGGAGCAGATTGGGTTTCGCTTTCGGGTGCAACAAGCTGGCCAGTTTTCAAATTCGACTAGCTGAAACTTGAAAGAAATGAAATCGTAGAATGTATATCGTGCGTTCAGTTCACTTGTTAACTAAGGGGGGGGGAGAGTAAAGTAACACATGCCAAAAGTAGGAAGCTCTCACGTAGACCCAGAAGTGTCAACACGAAATTAGTGTAATTGCTAGGCATTTTAACCAAATGATTTGGCAAAAATTTGCCGTACAAACCAAGTTCCACTTTTCCTGATCGATGCATCAGTCTATTCAGGCATATGACGAGTGTGAGTAATAGACGAGGAGATTAGTAGAGCACTTGAAGCAGTTTGTGTATGCGTTCTTTCTTTCACAGTTCTTTGGGAGTTTCTTTTCAACAGAGTGAAGTAAAGTTGTCAGGTGGTCCTGTCGGTTCCTAGCTAAGCTATTCTATCACAAAAACGAACTCTAGATCCGTGTAATTGCAAAGAATGTTCCCAAAATGGAACGTTTAGTTGTGGTAGTTCCACACAACCGTGTCCGAATTGTGTTTTGCGTTCATCT